TTTCTTTTATATTTTTACTAGAGGCCTAGTGCACCAAATTTGTGCACTGGTAGGATCTCTAGTGGGTGCTGGCTGACACCTGGGAACTTCCTACCCTCCCTCAAGCTGCCTGCCACCACTGCTGGGGGGACTCCCTTTCTTCCTCTGGCTAGCCTGCCCCCTGGTGGAACTCCTGGAAGAACTCCTGTCAAGGGAACAATTTGCATACTATGCTTTTATTATTTAGGATGTATAGCTACTATACATACACACACACACACACACACACACACACACACACACATAAATTGGAGAACATTCAGCAGGAATTACCAACTAAGGTCCAGCTGAGGAGGACACATATCAAGGAAGGACAAAAAACACTGGAAACTCTAGGAAGGGTAAGGCCCTGAGAGGAGCCAACCCAGCTCTCAGGGGCAGCCAGCCAGCAGGCTAAGAGATGAGGGAGCACTAGGCTATGGGAGGGTCTGTTCCCTCAGAAGGCAGAGGCCCAGGGCCCAGTCTGGGCTCCACAGCCAGGAACACCAGAGCTGAGTGAGACCTGCAGCCCATGTAACATCCAGCTGTGAAAGGCGGCAAGGCTGCTGGCTGCTGTGCTCTGAAGCCAATTGGAGAAAAAGCCACAGTTTCGTTGTTGTTTTTCCCCCTCTAAACCCAGGGCATGGGAGTTTGCATTTGCAACTTGGTGCAGGGAGGGAGGCGTGGACTTGAGGTACCTGAGGAGAGGCCGGGGTGGAAGCAGGACAGGAGGACATGGAAATCCAATAGTCCATGTCTTGCATTTGGTTGTTCATACATGTGCAAACCTAAATGGTCATTTTCCCTGAAAGAAGCTAGCTGCTCTCAGTAGGCTCAGGGCAGGTGATATAGCCTGCCCCACCCTCAGGAGCCCTGCGCACCACACCCTCATTTTGAGCTTTTCAGAGGAAACCAAAGCAGCGGCCAAGCTCAAGGTTTGAAAAGTCTCAGGAGCCCTCAGTGACTGGATTGGAGGGGGTGCCATCTGCTGCACTATTCTGGGAACCAGACTGATAAAAACTCCAGGTTCCCAGCCGACCCCATTGTTCTCCATATCCAGCCCAGGGTGGAGTAATACTTTGGGCCACTTGCTGAGGAGTAGCCCTGTGACAAGAAAACACACCCACCACTTTCCTTGAAAGATCTGCAGCATGCCCCCCACCTAAAGCCCTGTTAGAAACAGACTATTGAGTGATGAAGTTTGACAGCTGGTTAGCAGGCGAAGGCAGAGGCGGAGCCCCGGGGAACCAGTGGTTTGCTGACCCAGCCCTGGGCCCTGTGCTGCTGACAAACCTATGTTAGAGGGGAAATTGGCTCCTCCTATTTGCAGCAAAGGCCTGTGGAGACGCAGCTGGTGAAGGCTGGATCGCTTGTAGCTTCGAGGGGGGTGCTGAAAACCAAAAGAGAGTGGCTGACAGTAGTTAGCACCTCAGCGCCTAACAGGAAGCCCAGAATTGGCAGACAGGACAGAAGACTGGAAGTGAGTGCCATGTTTGTGGGTACATCTCTTAGGGCAAAGGGAATGAATGAGAAAGTAAAGAAAAGGGATTACATGAAAGTAAAACGATTCTGCACAGCAAAAGAAACCATAAACAATGAAAAAGGAGCCCACTAGATGGGAGAACATATTTGATAATGATGCATCTGATAAAGAGTTAATCTCCAAAATATATAGGGAATGCATACAACTTAACAAAAGAAGACAAATAATCCAATTAAATAATTGGCAAAGGACCTGAATAGACACTTCTCCAAAGTGGACATAAGAAGGCCAAGAGACATATGAACTGATGCTCAAAGTCACTAATTATCAGAGAGGTGCAAATTAAAATGACAATGAGATATCACTTTACAACTGTCAAAATGGATATCATTAAAAAAATCAACAAATGACAAGTGCTGGTGAGGATGTGGAGAAAAGGGTACCCTAGTACACTGCTGGTGGGAATGCAGACTGGTGCAGCCACTGTGGAGAACAGTATGGAGTTCTCAAAAAATTAAAAATGTAACTTCCATTTAATTCAGTGATCCCACTTCTAAAAATATAACATAAGAAACCCAAAACACCACTCAGAAAGAATATATGCACCCCTATGTTCCTAGTAGCACAATTTACAATAGCTAAGATTTAGAAACAGCCTAAGTGTCCATTAGCAGATGAGTGGATTAAAAAACTATGATACATAAGTCTGCACAATGGATGTACCAGTCTGCCTACAATGGAATATTATAGCAGCTTTAAAGGAAAAAATGAAAGAACTCCTACCATTTGCAACAGGATGGATGGACTTGGAGAACATTATGTTAAATGAAATAGGCCAATCTGAGAAAGATAAATATCACTTGATCTCACTCACATGTGGAATCTAATGAACAACATCAACTGATGAGCAAAAATAGATCCAGAGACATAGAACCATCAAACAGACTGTCAAATCTCAGAGGGAAGGCAGGGGAGAGGGGCGTGGGAAGAGATCAACCAGTGAACTCACGTGTATATGCATAGTCCATGGACACACCAATGGTGAAGACCTAGGATTAGGGGCAGGGGTCGACTTTAAAAGGTCTATGGGAGAAAAGGGGTACATATGTAATACTTGCAACAATAAGTATTTTTAAAGAAATAAAAGAGAATTTAAAAATTGCATTTCTTCATTCTTGTTCTGAATAAATGAGATTTTGCTTGCAATGTGCCTGGTTAGAATAATGCTTCCAACATAGCTGGCACTCCATGAATACTAGTCATTTTAATTTTTCCTTTTCTCCTTTTTCTCTGCTGCCAAAAATACTCAGCAGCATGTGATGTGAGGGCAATTAATAACTAGTCTAAGAGGAAATATTGACAATTTAATCCCCCAAAATGTGTTCAAAATGAATCACTGAGATTAAACAGGTTGCTGACAAAAAATAAAATTACTTTACCTTTGTCACATACTATGCTGGTTAACTATACTAACATATTAAAATAGTTTGCAACATCCTTATTATAATATGGATTATAATTTCTGACTCAATCATCTGGCAAAACCTGTGGATAGGAGGGTAATAATATTGCCTTGTACTTGAAAGCCAAAGCAGGATTTCTGTATTTTTAAAAATATATATTTTATTGATTTCTTACAGAGAGGAAGGAAGAGGGATAGAGAGTTAGAAACATTGATGAGAGAGAAACATTGATCAGCTGCCACCCAATGGGGATGCCCACAACCAAGGTACATGCCCTTGACTGGAATCGAACCTGGGACCTTTCAGTCTGCAGGTTGATGCTCTGTTCACTAAATCAAACAGGTTAGGGCAGGATTTCTGTATTTTTTGAGGAAGGATTTCTTAGTAAATTCAGTTTCCCTGTCTGCCATTGATCCAGAATAAACTGCTAACTAGCATTAAATAGGTAAACTAATTTCTGAAAACTACACTGATTTATGTTGAAGCAAAATTTGGTAGAGTGGTTTTTCCTTCAAGAGATTTTTGTCAAAATGTGCTTTTGCTACTCACACCAATGGAATCTAAAATGCAGTGACAGTGCTGCTAAGGTGCTGTCAATGCAAATACGTAGTAAATAAATTACAAAGTATGGCCAATAAAATAACATGATAGCAAGCATGACTATATCATACATTCAATGGAAAGTGCATATTTATTCAGACCTTCTGAAGATGTCAAGATTGAGACATACGAATATTACATTACTGAGAGAAAATGAATCAAGTCAGAGCAAACTTTGTTAAAGATTATGTAAATTCTACTGAATAAAGGTAATTTCAAGTGATGGCAGCCAAAGTGCCATCATATTATAAGGCGCTATCATGTCTCCTGTGACAATTCCAGGTTCCCCCACCTCTGTTGACAATGCTTATTGTCCTTGGACCTGAGTGGTTTTGTGGAAATAATTCACAGGTTCTTCCGCCATGATTTGCTGATAGTACTAGGGAACTTCTAATTTCAAGAAGCGGGTGAGGGGGTTAAGATGCTCTAATTCCAAGGCCTGGGCCCTACTTTCACTTCCTGCCTCCCATCCCCCTCTCCTGCTTTAGTCCTGGAAGAATGGAAGTGAGATCTTGGAACTACTGAGGCTTCTCTAGGTGGAGAACAGTGGCACCTGTGTACACTCAGCTGATTTCTAGATTCTTCTATTATAGGGTTAAGATTTTAAAGTGTCATTGCTATTAGGAATGCTTCAAAACTTGTCCATATTTATTGAAATGTTTTTCAAAGTTTGCTCAATGGATGGCCTGCATTTGAATTCCCTGGGGTGTTTTTGGAAAAATTAAATTTCTTCCTGGATTCTCTCTCTGCCATCCCGAGTCAGAAGATCTGGGGGTTAAACTTGTTTTCTCCCTGTAAGTGTGATCCAAAAAGGCCTAGCGACCAAAAAAGCATACTTTCATTCTGGGCTATGGAAGACCCGGCCATTCATCATCCTGATTCCAGGTCTGGCACTTATTATTTTCCCTGCCTGGTTTTCAGAGTGCTGTCTCACTGTCTTGAGAAGTGTCTGCTACACAGTATTTTTCAAAGATTTTTTGGAAAGGGCATTAAATAGATAAAGATCTTTGTTTACCCTTTTCACCAGCACATTTATTCTCTTGCCCGGATAGACCGAGAGGCAGCTTACATACATTTTTTATTTTGTCCTTATAAGTAAGGTGGCCATATAATTTAGTGTCACAATTGGGGCATTCCTGAGAGAGAAAGGAAGTGCTGTTAATTATGCTAGGCTCTAGGAGAAAATCAAGACTCTCACAGAGAAACCTAGACATATGGTCATCTTAACTCTATTTGGTTAAAACAGCAATACCAATTACAGTTTACCAATCAATTCTAAGTTAACAATCACAGGGTCTTATTCAAATTTTCTGACAGACAATTGAACGTCATGTTTCTTAGTCTGAGGCCAATTATAATTCTCCTGGTGTCTTCTATTTCTTCCTCAATATTTCCTGAAGCTCTCACTCCCTTAAGCCTGTTGTTTTTCTCAAAAGGGCCTTGGTCGGAAGCATCAGCAGAACCTGAGAATTTGTTGGAAATGAACATTTTTGGTCTCACGTCTGATTCACTGATTCAGAAACTTGGGGATGTGGCCAGTAGTCAGTTTTCTAACAAGCCCTTCAAGTGATTCTGATGCATACTAAAGTTTGAGAATTTCTGCTGTAAGCTAGAACTGATAAAATTCTTTTCTTTCTTTCAATTCTTCCTCCAACTCCTAGTTCTTTCTATATCCTTTCTGCATGACTGAACTTGTGCTGTTAATAATTCTGTTCTTCTACTCCAATTAGTGAAGTTGAAAGTGTGGGGAGACTAGGGATCTGGTTTTTATTTTATTTATTTTAAAAAATATATTTTATTGATTTTTTACAGAGAGAAAAGGAGAGGGATAGAGAGCTAGAAACATCAATGAGAGAGAAACATCAACCAGCTGCCTCCTGCACACCCCCTATTGGGGATGTGCCGGCAACCAATGTACATGCCCTTGACCAGAATCAAACCTGGGACCTTTTAGTCTGCAGACCAACGATCTATCCACAAAGCCAAACCAGTTTCGGTGAGGGATCTGATTTTTAAACTACCGTACCTCTATTTTTATGAGTTTATGAGATAATTTTTGAGCATTAAATATGTGCTTGGCATTGAGGCTATGGATACAAATCAGATTCTGTTCTCTTCGAGCTGTGACTTGAGCTCGAGAGACAGAAATATAAATGATCAATTATAAGGAGGTAAGTGCTGTGGAACTGGCTATCATGGGACCAAGGTTTCTTTACAGGGAAATCTCATAGAATCCTCAGAGGTCACCTGCATCTCTCTGGAACAGGGAGCCAGAGAGCCTTTGGACCCCTGAGCTCCCTGTCCATGTTCCTTCATTAGGCTCCTGTTCTTTCATCTCTATGTATTTCTGGGTGTCTGTTCCTTCCTCCTGCCTCACTGCCTTATTCTGTAATGTATCCCGCACTTGCACAAGGTCCTTCCTTATCACCTTTCACAACATCTTTTCTTTATGATTCTCAACTGACATTTTTAATGAACAGAAAGAAAGAAAGAATGGATCTAATCCACTCCATATTTTTTTTTTCTTGTTTAGAATAATCCTCAATTCATCAGTCACTGGCCAATTTATGATTAGTTTTCACTTGAATCATGGTTTTTAATCTGAATGGGGAAGTTGGATATGGCAAACAACTTACATTGTAGAAATTAGTTTCAAGATAATTTTTTAAAATATATTTTTATTGATTTTGTACGGAGAGGAAGGGAGAGAGATAGAGAGTTAGAAACATCGATGAGAGAGAGTCATCAATCAGCTGTCTCTTGCACATCCCCTACTGGGGATATGCCCGCAACCAAGGTACATGCCCTTGACCGGAATTGAACCCAGGACCCTTCAGTCCCCAAGCTGACGTTCTATCCATTGAGCCAAACCAGTTCCGGCAGTTTCAAGATAATTTAAATGTAAATCTTCTCTATGTTTATGAAAAATATTTTTGTTTTGTTATCCTAATATCATCTAATAATATTGTTCTTATATTTAAGTGGTTATCACAATTGCATATTTCATGCAAAATTTCTTTTGCTTTTAAAAAACACTTTGTCTTTATTAAAAGAGAAGTTGCCTAGCCCGAAACTGGTTTGATTCAGTGGATAGAGCTTCAGCCTGCGGACTGAAAGGTCCCAGGTTCGATTCCAGTCAAAGGATGTACCTTGGTTGCTGGCACATCCCCAGTAGGGGGTGTGCAAGAGGCAGCTGATTGATGATTCTTGCTCATCGATGTTTCTAACTCTCTATCCCTCTCTTTTCTTCTCTGTAAAAAAAAAAATCAATAAAATATATATAAAAAAAGAGAGAGAAGTTGCCAAACTTAGATCTGTTTGGAGTTTTTAATAAATAATAGAAATGTAATATTCCAATTAGACCAGACCAATTAGAAAGACGTTCTTCTGGACAATCTTCCAGTCAAAGCTGGGGCTGGGAGGGAATTCTGGGTCCCAGTGCCTGCCAGCAGCAAGAGGGAAGCCTGGGTCCTGGGTGCCACATGGAAGCCGGTGCTGGCAGCTGGAAGGCCTATTCTTTCACAAATTTTGTACATCAGACATCTAGTTATTAATAACACAGAATTCATATCCAATCTTTCTGGATATTGAATAAATCATGATTTGCTCCTTGAAGGTCTATTAGTTCAATGAACTCTCACAGTTCATCTTGTACTGTCTAAATTAATTCCAATTTTTTCTTTACCAGCATTTAGTTGACATTCCTATCATACATACAAAAGTAAGTTGTAAGATAAAAATCAAAATACATTTACTAAAGACTTTTCATCTTAGAGCAGATTCACAAAAGCCTATATGTTATTTATAATTTGCTCTGCTGAAGGTCAGAGCTGTAGCTACCAATAAGACCATTTTACCTAGTAACAAATTCAAACTATAGTCTGCTATTTATAGCACAAAGAATGCCTCTAGATTGAAGGTAAAATTCTTGATTTTATGCCTTTCCCTTTACCAGTAAAACTGTCATTAACAAATTAAAAAGATTCACAATACTAATTGTTGACAGGAATGTGGGACAATTGAAAGGCTCATCTGCATTCAGTATCTCTCCAGTCTGAAAAAAGTCATACATGTTACTTTAGACTTTTACATTTATACAACTGAAATAATAATATAAATTGTTTAATATGCAAACATTCTCCAGATGCCATGTGCAAGTGATATATATTGCCCTAATTTCTGACTATCTCTGGAAACTCAATTTGGAACAAAATGAGAAGCAAGGAAATGGGCACTTGGTAGTACTTGGAGGTAATAGTGTGCATGAACACAATTTCATCCTGTTTTTTGTGAGAAAGAGAGGATTTGACAAGGTAATAATTTGTCTTTTCTTTTTCCTAATTGTTTCTACCTCTCCAATCTTCCCCATTATTTAAATTAGTTTTGACACCTGTCAGCAATAGCACAATCTTTAAACTTTTATGAATTTGTTTTGCCTTTGTTTTAAATATACATCAAATGATATGAAAAATAATTTTCTTGGGTTTCGGACAATGTTTGTTATGAAGGTAGAATCGTTGGTTTCTCAAAGCAGCCTGAACCCTGGAGCCTGAGTGGCTGAAGTGATAGATAATCATTGTCCAAGTTCATTCTAGAATAAAAAATATGCTAAATATTTAAATAACAGCTAAAATACTGTTATGAAAAATCCCATGACAATATTTAAGCTTTGTTTATATATGTCTTACTGTACATTATTTACATAGTGAAGGTTACTTTTAACAAAATATCCTGCTATTATTCAGTAGTTAGAAAATAAAACCAAAAAACCAGATGAAATGTAAAAAGCACCTAGAATTTAGCTTTCAACATATTTGTTGCTCAATATCCTTTAGTCTAAATCTGAAGCAGAACTTTTTTGCATGGTAATACTTATAATTTGGGCTTATTTTGAATCTGTTTATTGATCCTCATTGTTGAGACAAACAGGTGATGCTATAGCTCAAGGAATAAAAGGGCAAAACAAAAACAAGTAAATATCTACGATTATAGCAGTGATAAATGTAGCATTCTTAGCTATTTTTTAATTTACACTCAGTGGCCAGATTATTATGATCTCTGAACACATGATAATCTGGCCACTTGCTGGAAAACAAATCAGTTTCACTAAAAAGAGAGATGTTCACAGGAAGCCAGGAAGGCTGGTCAACAACCTTAATTGCTCTAACCACTCACCCTTTAGTTGAGACATTGTTAGCAGAAGCAGCCTTCACCTTGTTTGTCCCTGTAAGTTTCTGTTATTTCCTGCCTAAGGGCTACATGTAAATTTCTGTTTATGTTGCTTAAGGTGTTTCCCCAAAGCCTCAATAAAAGGGGATGGCAGGGCCAGAGCAGTAGTTCTCCCACTAGAGTTGGACTACCGCCTGGCCCCCCATATCGCCAAATTGAATTTCTTCAAGACTCAAGTCTTTTCATTTGTGTGCAGCCCTTCTCCAGAACCCGAACACAGGGCGTGAAAGAGATTCCTATAGCCACTCAGTGTATATCCTATATAATAAAAGGTTAATATGCAAATTGTCCCCTTGGCCAGCAGGCCATATCCCCTCTCCCTGGCCAGGCTGGTCGGACCCCCCTATGCATGAATTCATGCATTGGGCCTCTAATATATATATACACACACTGAGTGGCCAGATTATTATGCATTCAGAGATCATAATAATCTGGCCATTCAATGTATAACCTATGGGATAATTTTCCAAATTGTTTGCAAAATTAGTTTTCTCTATTGTATGCTGATATTAATCTATGAGGAAACATGCCAAGGATAAGAGACCAGATTGATGCTGGAAATATTTTCCATCAAAGTTATCAAACATTTATTGGCATAGTATTAGTCTGATTTTCTTACTCTTGGTGGAGAGGTCATACTAAGCCTTGAAAAACAGTCTTTTTATGTGTATTTGAGAGCAGTTAGAATTAGCCAGAGTTGCATTAGTGTGCTGGCAAGTCCCCAGGAGAGTGATGGTGGGCCCCATGTACTGCTGGTTTCCAGAAGGATAAAAGCAGCCTGGAGTGAGTTTTTAGAAAGCAGATAAAAGAAACACCATGCTGTGCCTCCACTTTAAAATCTGATGAGCTGTGGGATGACTACTATTTTCTTATAGAATCAAAAGTTTTAAAATCATAGTATGCGAGGATTTTTCTGTTCAAATAAATACTTCAAATACTTAGAAATCAAACTGCATGGATATTTCCAGTTGGCTTTTAAAATGACCTTACAAAAATGATTTTAATCAAAGCTACTTAAAAATTTCTTCTCTCGATTTTCTCATTTGCAAAGTGTATATTAGAATAAAGTGCCTTCTTTGCAGTATTTGTATGAGAATCAAATAAAGTAGAGTTGTTTCAGGGCGAGGGAGGAAGTGGAAGAGGGCAAAGGGGGATAAATGGTGGTGGGAAGAGACTATACTTTGAACAATGGGTACACGGCGGTATGCATATGATGTTTTGTTGAGTTGCACACTTGAAACCTGTATGATTTGTTAACCAATGTCATCCCAATAAATAAATTATAAAACTTCATTTAGAAATTAGCAACTGATTATGTAGTACTTTGCAATCTTGTAGTCT